GTTTAACAACCAAACAGTACAATAATATCCCCAATAAGTGGGATTTTTCAAGAGCGGGCATTTTTAGACTGAAACTAAAAATAGTATTTTATGAAGAGGTAATTAAGGTTTGATTATTAAAAATGCCCGCTCTTGCGAATTTTTACAGTACTTTACAACAAAAAATAAAATAAGTTCACATTTTTTTGCATTCTGTCTGATAAAAAATGTTCTTTTTGACAGTTAATAAATAAATATCAACAATCTGTTAAATGATCTTATATTTAAAGAAATACGAGTTTATGTGATCTTTATCCCGAATTAACAACTTGAAAAGCGTTGTGTGACAATTAGTGCAAGTACACATGGGTGTTTTTTTCGAATAAAAAGTTCCTAGAACAGATCGAGTAAACAATGGCGACTGAACAAGAGGCAATGGCAAAAATGGCGAGTGTCGACGTCCCTCATGGCGAGTGGGTTGTCTTTGATATCAAGAAGAACCAAGTTGTTTTCAGATGCTCTGGCAATAGTGTTAATGCCTTAAGAGATGAATTAAAAGACGACCAAGCTTGTTTTGTTTTAATCTCATTGAGATGCACTCTTGAAGGTGTTCCAGACCAAGCCAGAGGTATTTTCATCGACTGGAAAGGACCAAAAGCCCGAGCTATGTTAAAGGCAAAGATGACTGAATTAAGGGACCAAGCACTTGAAATCCTCAAACCACACCATGGTGAATTAGAAGCGGTTGGAAAGACTGAATTCAATGAAGAGACTATCCTCAAGAGATGGGGAATGAACTCGGGATCTCACGTAATTAATTAAAAACTTTCATTACTTTTTAATTTATTTAAAATTATAATACAAATAATGAAGTGGTTATATCGTGGTGATTTTTATTGATATTTACTTCAATTTTTTAGTTGAAAGATAACAAAATATATATTTATTAATATATTATCGTATTTATTCTATAACAAACTTTTTTAAAAATATACAAGAAAACAAACTTGTTAACATTTGAAAAGAAATATACTAAACTTAATAACAAAAAATATTTATAAATATAGTTTGATTTAAAAGTATAATCATATAGTAATATAATTAAAAATAACTAGTTTACTAACTTCGAATCATACAAATTATTTGTTAATAAAAAATAGAATAATTGTCACCAATACGATAGAATGGAAGATAAGAAGAACTTAAAGTATGGAATCTGAGTTGCAGGCGAACGTATCCCACACTCACCACATACATTCATTATCTTCTTCGGAAGATGAAATCACTTCAAAACCACTGATCAACGAAAGTCATATTGAAAATCCCTCTGAACTTAAACTTCAAAAAACAATTCGAGTTTTGTTTCTTTGTGGAATTTTGGTCTTTCCAATCTTCTTGGTCGTCTATTTGATGGCAAGAAATAATGATAACAAAAACTACAGGACCATTGCAAAGGCAGCCCTGGGATTTTTTGTCACAGGAATGGTAGCCGTACTTGTTATAGCAGCGTTTGCATTTGGGGTATATTACAATCAAAAGATCTAGTCTCCCCTTTTAGTATCTTCTTTATAGTTTTTTGTATACTTTTTTATTATAAATATATAGTTTATTTTTTCACAAAACATACTAATTATTTATTATTGTAAATAGTATATTGTATTATTTATTTTATTGTTCAATTAATAATTAAATTATAGTTTATTAATAGTTCAATTCAACAATCAAAGTCATTCAAAGTGTGGAATGAAATACCAAAATGAACACAACAAAAACAAAGTTAAAAGTAACCAAAAACGGAACTAAAAAGAACTATTGCAACTAGTAACAAAAATTGAGAAAATTAATAGTTATCGTTTAAGCAAGCAGTGATTTGACATCCGAAGATTGGAGCGATATCGCAGATGATGAATTTATCGGAATTTTGGACGCAAGGCATCTGTGTTTTTACGTTTGAGTTTGTCGCTATAATTTTGTCGATCCGGGACTGAGTGATTTTGTTGACGACATCTTCATCGATCAGACACAGATGAGTCAACACCGCGGTCACTTTTTTAGCACCATTATCCAAATAAGCGTCGCAGGCCTTAATTAAAGTCCCCGCCGTTCTTGTCATGTCATCGTAAATGATCACATGCTTTCCTTTAACGTCACCTATAGGTTCTCCTATCACATGTGTATCTTCAAACGATCGACTCTTTCGAATGAAAGCCATCCCGACATTAAACCGATTTGCAAAGGTTTCAACCCAAAGGGGTCGTCCCAAATCTGCGGAGCCAAATATGCAAGGCTCATTGAAATCGATATATTGCGCTATCGCTTTCTCTAAGACGGGTTCCGCATATAACTCCATAGCCTGTACGGTGCCCTCGAAGTAATGAATAATACCACTTGTGTGAAGGTCCATCAACATAAAAAGATTACCAAGTCCAGAAGAGGGAATACCACATAACATCCTTACCGTCGATTTACATGTAACAACTTCACCAGGTTTAACAGCTCTTTCCATAGTCGAGTACATCAAATATGGAATCACAAAGACTCGTCGTTTAGTACCTAACTCGGCAAGTTCCCCACCTATTCTAACAACTTCTAATAACTCCATGTCATCAACTATTGAAGATACAATCACTACATTACGCCCTATCAATGAAGTTCGCTCGGGGATGTTAATACGGTAATACGACTCACCATCTTGAAACTTGCGGTGGATGATGGGGATGATTGGAATACCTAACTCCGCGCGGAGACTCTTGGCTAAATACTCGGACTTTGAGGTGTGAACTATAAAAGTTTCAGTCGAGACAAATGCCTCGGGAGGAATAGGACTGCTCGTCGGCTGCATATGTTATAATTAAGTTCGCAGAGGTTTTAAATGAAGTGATTAAGTCTAATTATCCTTTTCGAATGGTTCTAAAACCTGCGTTTTGATGATATTATTACTTTACTATAATTTATATTTAAATGAAGTATTAAGTATAGTTCTTGAGTTGAGGGAGTTTTTATCTTCTTGATTTTTATTATTCAAGAAGAAAAAATATTTACCATATTTGTAGTATCATGTAATTAATAAAATAAAAATTTTTCA